TGCTTTGTTTAGATCTTTAAAATTACCACATATATACTATTGTAAGCTTAGAGAATCAAAACAATGGAATAATAATGTGAAATATGTGATACTTGATGATATTGATTTTTTTAGACTTAACGGTGATCAAAAAAAATCAATAATGTATACGTATTGAGAAATGTTATTTTGTTAGGAAGAATTTAATTTATGAACGGCATATTCGAAAACCATTAAAAATAAAGGTTCAAAACCTTGTGTGGTTTTGTTAAATGAACCAGGAAACCTATATCTAATTGAAGATGAAATTTTTTAAAAAGAATTACGTCAAAATTGTTTGATGATTAATATTGGAAATTTCGATTTATGAAAAAAGGATAAGGATGGAAATTTAACAAATGAATTTTTGCGTTATGGTAGAAGTATAGTCATTAGTTATATAGATAAGGATGGGGATGAAAAAGAATTGTTGTTAACTTTGGAGGATTTCGAATATGATAAAACATTAAATTATGAAAATGGTAGTAATGGGAAATGTAAAATAAGTTATGAGGAAAATGAAACTGAAAGAGGAGAGAGTGAAAATATAAAACGTACCAGATTTGATGAATCTGGTGATGAATGTAGTAATACTAGTATTAATAATAGTTATATAGAATTGTCTGAAGAAGATTAATTTAAAATTTATTAATAAAAAAATGCCATTTTATATTTATTTTATTTCTCGTAAAAACATAGTAAACACAAGATATTTAGGTATATTTGTTAATGAAAATGTTGTGAATGAATAGTATAATGCTATAAAAGAATTACAAAGGTTAAATCCTGCTCAAGAAAAATTTGCAATTGAAAAGGTTGATTCAAATTGGTATACGTTACCACATTCAGATCATATTATTTAATTAATTTATAATGTATATGAACAAGAATTGATTAGTTTTAAAGGTAGATGTTTTTTTTTTTTATTAGGAGATGTTAATGGTTTCGGTGGTCGAAACATGCCATTAATTTATAATGGGATTGGTGATGGTAGTAGTGGAAATTCAGGAGGTAATTCAACTGGTGGTAGTTCAGGCAATACTGGTAATCCGAATAATCCAGGATTAAATATAGGTTCTGGAGGTAATCCAACTAGTGGAAATACAACTGGACCAAATACAGGTACTGGAAATACAAAAGGTTTAGGAAATAGTACAGGATCTAATACAGGAAATCCTGGCTCTAATACTGGTGGAAATCCAGGAGGATCAAATCAAACAGGTGAAACAGGTACTGGTAATCCAAGTGGTAATTCTGTATCTAGTATAACCCCAAATCAAAAATTAGCTTTGGATGAAATATTTAAAAATTTACAAATGAATCGAACTAATAATGATGATAATGATCTTGAAGAACTTAGAAAAGTATCAAAGCGTCTTGCAGATTTACTTAATATGGAAAATGTTAATAAAAACTAAATTTATAGTTTTATTATATATAATTTTATTAAATTTATGTTACAATATTTAATTTATTATTAAAAGATTTATCCAATATATCATTTATATTATTTTTTTGATTTAAGAAAGGATATGCTTCTCTAAAATATTGTAAAAAATTTTTTAAATTATTGTAAAAAATTTTGTCAGAATTATTAATTTTGTTTAGATAACTTTCAAAATACCAATAAATTGAACTTATTTTTAATTCTTCGAAAAAATCTTTTTTGATTTTTATATTATTAAATCTATGATCTTCTTTTAAAAAAGTATTTCCTAATTCATTAATATCATCGATTAAAGCATCTGAATATTGTAATATTTGTATTTGGTTTTTTAAATTTAGTTGTTTGATTCCACTATAAGGAAGTTCAACAAGCTCATTAACGATAAACATTCCAAAAACAGGTACTTTATATTCTAATAGTTTTTTATCAAATTTTAAAATATCTTCTTTCATCCTGTCATAATAGTAATTATGTAAACAAGATTTTTTGTTTTTATTTTTACAATTTGTACATAGATTTCGAAATTTTGCTTGAATGTAGAACGGGTATCTATTCCATTCACATGAGATATCGATACTATCATCACCAATAATATGAAATTTTCCCAATCTATAAAAATCTATGTTTTCAACAGTTCCATTTTTCGTGATTTTAAGATTATCATCATACATTATTTGTATTTTACCAAATCAAAGAGATAATTTTTTATTTTGTTTATGTGTGGAATTGTGTAATAATTTTCCACCAGTAAATTGATAAAATGTGAATTTCTTCGGATGTAATTTATATTTTTTTAGATAATAAAATAATTCATTTTCAAAATTTTCTCCAGAAATTACACCAAAATGCTCAATATTATATTCAAATGATAAAGTTTGTGGTTTTTCTAATTGATTCATTTTATTTTAATTGATAAAATATGTTGATTTTTTATAATTGAATTAATTGATAATTGAATTAATAATATAAATATAAACAAATTAAATTTTGTTAATTAATTTGATGATGGAAATAAAAATAAAAATTTACTTAATATTTTTATTGATCATTTTATATCTTGTGAGTAATGTTAAACAGAGATATATTTGTCAATATTGTGGTGGTAATCATGCAGTATCAAGTTGTGCAAGACCATGTATTCATCTGATGATTATTCGAGAGTTAATTATATAGATCGAAGCGGATATTTCGGATTAAGACCAAAAACTTACACACCAGTTATTCAAAGAAGACCAAAACAAATACAAGTACAGGTACCTGAGAGACCTAAAGGAGGAGAACTTAAACAAAATCAACAAAATATACCACAGATAAAACAAATACCAATAAAACAATTACCGATAAAACAAAGACCAAATGTAATAAGAGAAGATCAAATAAGAGATGATCGGATAATTGGTGATCAAGCTAAACAAATTATAATTCAACCAAAAATACCAATACCTATACCCGTAGTAGATCCACAGATAGATAGAGGAGTATTGGAAATAAATGTACAAGAAGAAATATGTTCTATATGTTTAACAGCA